CTTAAAGCTTTACAGATCAGTCATAGTCCACTTACATGAAAAATTTTTGTGTTATCTGTTTGTGAAAAATTCCATCGACCAGGTTAACCAAAATTCATCTCTAAAAATCTTATTATCTTTAACCAATGCCATCCTGATGGGTTATGAGAGACCTATGAGCATTAAACATAACAACCCAACATGGTGCCTTATCAGAGAGTGGTGCCAGATTTTTATTTATTTTTTATCTATTTATCTCAAAACAGCTCAGCATATGCGTGTTTGTCTACTATTATTTACAATCATGTTTCTGTCAGCATCCCAATGGTGGACTAGACACGAAATATCTGTAGATGCAATTTGTTGAACAGAATCTGTTACAATAAACATCCTGGAATTATTTAAATTCATAGCGGCTGACAGTGAGGCAGACCCTGAGCTAATATCGATGTGAACATTATTCACAATCCCATCTGGTCAATCAGACTAAATGTTCGTCCCTGCTGTTGTCGTCCAGCCTTTGCTCGTCAGCTCCCCCACACTAGCAGCCTAATCAATCATCCTGACTGCATCGAGGAGGGATGGAGCATGCAGAAAAACTACGCAGAGGGATTTAACTTTGTTACCTCCAGGGGCCATAAATCTCCAGTGGAGGCCTCTCAGATTCTGCAGGTGAGATCAAGTCAAACTGTCCCTTGGGGAACCCAGCCTTTGTCCACTTTTATAAAATGAGAATAGAAACACTCTGCATCATGGTAATATGATTAAACACATGACATGACAGATACAGAGGCATGTGCATGAGGCTACTGTGAAAGGCTCTTGTTCTTCTTTTCCTCTGTATGTAGTTTTTCCGACTTTAAGATATCTCAAAGATAAATGGTATCATCACAGAATAAAATATACTTCTGCTCAACTTGTTCTGGACTAACAATGTGCCCTAATAACAGGACAGAAACTCTTTCAAGCATTTTATTTGCCTTTCTGCGTTGTTAATACTGAACTGCACTCATGTTTCTTCATCCTCATCTCATGGACAACGTGAATAACATCTCCAGATATATCTAAATAGACTCTTGAATTTCCATCATAAGGAGAGAGGCTGTGATATAAAATATATCAACACAATTATGTATAAGTAGCCTACAACTGTGTGATATGTTACAATAAATCATCTAAAAAGCGCATACAGTATTCCTTTTACACATTCCTCTTACTGACAACCTACTACTGAAGGGATGGATACTCTCACTGTAACATTAACACTCATTTCGATTAGTATATTGATTGTTTTTTAACTATATTGTCTAGGGTCAAAGTTTAAGTGTCTTCTCATGTACAAGCCACATGATTAAGATATATTTTAATTTCCATTTTGCTGACAGTTGCCTGTCACCTGTCAGGCAACATTAAATCATGTTGTACTTTCTTTACAGTGCCCGACCTCATATGGAGAAAAGTGGATACCTAGACTGTTGCTAATGAAATTTTCATGTGCAAAAACACTTCTGGTTCGATGATGATCATGTATGTGATATTGAGGATAATTGCCAGCTGGGTCTGATGTATAGTACATGTGACTGTGGTGCCACACAGCACTTACAGTCAGTAGTGTTACTGTACATACAGTATTTAACTGCTTTCCTATAAAAACAATGTTCAAACAGGCATGAAACATGGCCGAGCAGTGGATTGGCATGGTGGAGAGGCTACGCTCTGTGGATCGTCTATTTTTAAAAATGCGGTCTGGTCATTGTATATTTTATTTATATGCGGACTGGCATCGTTAAAATACAGCAAGCAGACTTGTTTGCCAATTGCCTCCTCGAGGCGAATCAACTTTTGTTGCTGAAGAGGGAGGAGGAGGAGGAGGAGGAGGAGGAGGAGGAGGAAGAAATCCTATAGGCCGTTCAATGCTCTGTGAGACTTCATAAGCAGGTGACTGTGTTTTTCTTTGCACGGAGACATCAAAGAAAGGTCATATCTGGCTTCAAAGGACATTATGATATTTAATCCTGTGCACAGCCACAATAGATGAAGAGGGAAAGTAAAATTAGCTGTCAGTGTTGTTGTGTAAGAGAATGGCCTCTATTGTAAGAGGACAAATATCAAATCTTTTCTGGCATGATCACACATTCATTGCCTAAAAATGTGATTATTCATACTGTAAATCAGCTTTAATAGGATTATTTATTCTTCATTGTTCTCACTTTCCTTTCTCTAATTAAAGCCATACATTACCTCAGAGACCTGCCGATCAAAGCTATTAAATATTTACCAAGCTTTCAAACATGACCTTTGCAGGCCAACACATCATGCAGACACAGTTGCGCTCACTATATTCAAATGACAACCCCTTCTTCTGCCGAACAGGCCTCTTTCTCTCTCCCTGCTGCACGAGCCAGGTTATCTTTAGTGCACATTGAATATTTATACAGCAGGTGGCTGGGGAGTCGGTCACTGATCTCTAAGGTGACTTGCTGAGCCTCTGTGGGGGGTGCTGGTGCACTGGGGTTGGCCTGGGATGAAGTCACATGGGACATATTGTCTCCTCTGCGTGTCCTTTTATTCCACTTAGGCAAAGGATTGTGTTTTATGGTTGAATGCCTACCACAAGCACTGAAGACAAGAGTCAACAAGCTATTACAGTCAGGCAGTTATGGTCAAACTCATTTGATTAATCTCCTAACACACACACACACACACACACACACACTGTGCACACACCAACTAGCACAGGCTGCACAGAGCAAGCACTGCTGTACAGTAGCTGAAAATCCCATGTTGTACCACAGGTAAAACAAACAAAAAAAAAAAAAGTGAAAGGAAATGTTTAGGGATCTAATGAATAATTGGAGTTTTCAAATGAGGCCCTTTGTATTATTCTCCTGAAACAGAAGAGGACGAGGCAAAGATGAGACAATTGTCATGCACAGAGGATTCTTGTCTGGGGATACTCTGAATGCTAATCATGTTGTCTGAGATTGAAGCCAGCCTCATTCCATCCTCGTTGCTGGGGGACAATTAGAGACGTTATTAAATAGGATACAAGGATCTTCCTTTCATGATAGCTTTAAAGATATTGCTCAGAGGATTCAATGGTTTCAATAGAAATTATCTGGCAATGACATTGTAACGCACTACAGTAAATGTGCATTTAAAGCCAGAACTTACACTGACACAGCTCATGCATAAATTGCTTTCTTAATGTGGGTTGTGGCTGCAGAGACTTTTAATGAGCACTCTGCTGTCAGAGAGCAATTTTCTCTTTGAGCTGAATTCTTTTTTAATGCATTAGCATCTGATGGAAAATGATAACTTCGACGAGTACCTTGGACAGGAAAGAGATCAACCAACGCATAATCTCCTAATGTAGCCGTTTACCATTTTGTGTTGCATAAACTGTACGGAAATTATAAAGCAGAACAATAAAAGTAGGAGAGTGAAGAAAACTTTCTTTGGACTGTAGCTGCACAGAAGAAAGGGTCCAATAATAAATTAGCAATTCTCAAAAGGCGTGGAGAAACTTTCTGGGCATTGGCATTTCATTGTTGTAGCCACAAAGCTGTCCCTGAACTGAATGTGTGAGATAAGTGCTTTGGAGCACAAACAAACTGAAACAAAAGAACATGAGGTGGAGATTGGTTTAGTAAGTAAGAGAGGGGGAGGAAGCACTTCTGGCGTCCAAGGGCATCATAAACCCCAGCATGTGTCTGCACAACAATGCCAACAGGGGCGCAAATTCTCCACACACTGGGAATCGATTTAACACAGAGAGTGGAGGACTTGGAAAGAGGCGTATCGGGGAGACACTGCAATACTGCATCTTGTGTTATTGGATTTGGAGCCCAGTTTTCTGAATTTTTTTTTTTTTTTTTTACACAACAACTGCAAGCTGGGGGATCCAGTCGAGGGGAGCTTCCCCGAGCCAGCACAAGAACCTGAGGCCAGCTGAGGAAAAGAGATTGTTCTGGGTTTTACCTTTAGAATAAAATTCATGTCATTATAAGTGCTTGAAAATAATAAGAAAAAAACTTTATATGGTATGGCATACAGTAATGTGCACAAACTTCATAATCTGTAAGTTATCATACTTAAAGAAAAACAGTGAAAGTGCTGGAAATAGAAGCAACACTTGTGGCCCACATTCAAACGTAGAGGGGAGTCAATAGCTGTGAACCAGTGCATGAGACAAACCTGTGTTTCCCGAGGAGCGCATACATATTTTATTGTGAACAACAAATGGAAGCATCACTGAGAGGTCCAGCATTAGTCCACAGATATCAGAGCGCGAGAGGAAGCAGAGAATGGAAGCTGAAAATACTGTCTTAAAAAGTGTTTCTTGGTGCTTTACTGGACTATTTCTGTTTGGGGTTAAATGAAAGGTTAACACTCATCTCATCCCTGCAGGTTGTCGTATTTGATTTTCTATCCTCAGAATAGCCACAGACATGCACAGTTTTTTTTTTAGACAGATTATCTTTCATTGATTGTGAAAGGAAATAAAAGTAGGCTTCCTGAGAGAGAAGCTTATTTTAGATGAAGGAAGCTCACTTCAAAAAGAATCAAATATCAAGATCTAATTCGAATATTACAGGAATATCACAGTGAAGGCCACTTTAAAGTCAAAAGTTCTCTGAGGGTTTAGCATTATTATAGGAAAAGCATAGTGGTGCAATAAAAGGTTACCATGGCTGTCTGGATAAAAGACAATTAAAATACCATCAACTCATTACTGAACACAACAGAGGCGTATACACTAAATATTTAGAGATGCCACACATGTTTTCAAAAGCCTCTTGGGGAACTTGTTTTTATGAAGGCTATAATGATGTTGGCTCCTCTGCTCCCCACCGCTGACTACAGCCAATTATTTTTCCCTGTTTGATTGAATTCAGACAAAAAGCATGTGGTAGTAGTGACACGCCCCCTAGTGTTTCATGTCTGCCAGGTTACTGGAGTTTGATAACCTTGCTCTGCGTCCGGGAGCATCACTGAAGGAATGTGAATGAGGATTTGGATGTCCGCCTCCTGCCTGCTAATTGTTGATGCAACCCCGAGGGTCCCTCGCATGGTGGTGATCAGGGCTCGTCCCCGGTCTCTTCTCATCTCTGTCCGTCCGGACCTAAAATGATAAGCACCGAGAGTGTTTTGGAGAGTGGAGACCAGCCGTGCATCCGGCTGGAGCCCCTGAATAACACACACTTGCCGGGCAAGGCGACGCCGACCGGTGGCAGCCGCGCTGTCTTCGTGGACAGCAGCCCCAAAGTGACAGCCAACGGGGTGCACGACATAGAGGACCGGATTCTGAGGATCACCGGCTACTACGGCTACAACCCGGGATACTCCAGTCATAGAAGTGAGTGAAAAGATGCAAAGAAAACAAAGTAGGCTGATGGGATCATCAGTGGGTGCGACAGTGTCACGCATTTCTGTGCCAGGTGTGAGATCGCGTAAATTAAAGAGACCACAATTTTATGAGATTTTGATGAAAAACGTGTGTTTGAAGGGATTTTGTTCTGATAAAGAAAACAGAAAAAACACTGTTAATGCGGTGCCACTGGTGTGTGAAAGAATAATGCACGAATCTCTTTCCCTTGCGAATTAGTTTTTCATTTTTCATTTTAATTAAGCTATTGCAAACTCAGCTAAATGGGTTTTAATTATGGCTATAATGGAGCACCATGATGTCAATCAATGCCCCTATCAGCTGGTGGCTGGGGGATGCACTGGCCTATCCATCTCTCGCTCTCTCTCTTCCTTTCTCTCTCTCTCTCTCTCTCTCAGACACACACACACACGCACACACACACTCACATAGAGAAAGGGAGGGAGAGAGAGCGTATTAAAACAAATCTAACACTATCAAGCAATGCAATTACATGGCAAAGTGTCATGCACAAATTATGCTGCCATTTCAAATTCAGTTTCAGAGTTAATTATTTAAACTGTCGCCTAATGTTGTCCAGATCAAACACATGTTGATGAAACTCCGCAAACAGTCATTTACATGGCAGCCTCATATTGAATTCCAAATTAAAACAATCAATTTCCCAGTTGACAAATAGAGCAGCTGCTCCTGTGATGTACGTGAACACTGCCAGCTATTTCCTGAGATGCTTGAGCTATGACTTTGCTTCAATACATTAAGCTTCTCTATCATTTCCATTTGTCAATGTGGTTTTGATTGGTAGAGTAATGCTCTGAATTTTGCTGACACGAAGACAATGGCTGGGATTGGAGGAGAGAGCTGATGATGCACTTTGTACGGGGGTGATCTTTAAAATCTTGCCCTCCAGTTCTTTTACAGTGTGGCCTTATAACAGAGGAAAAGAGTAACCATTGCACTGCTGTGCGCACAGCTTTATGGTAATGAAGTAAGGTGTGCAGAGCATGATTTTACAAGGTTTATAGCAGTAGGGTAGCCAGAGACTCTCTCCTCTGTGTTATGTAATTGGCCCATACATTAGATAGTTTACAGTTGGAGAGAAACTAGCACTTTTCTTGAATAAATCCCCCCAAAAGTAAACTATCATCAATATGTGACCCTCTTGTGTTTCAGAGGCTGATACACTTCACCTCACATGAATTTGACTTGTCACGCAAGCTTTCCTAACATCACCCTCTGGCTGTTACATAAAAGCCCGACTACAAATTTATGACTTAGAAATACATGAAGAGGAGAGCGCAGTTCTCTCAATGTTATGACATCCTTCCCCAAATCTTCTACTGAACCTTGGCAATCTCTGACTTAATGCATTACTCTGACAAACCTGTTTTAAATCTCAGCGGAAATGAGTGAGTATGCAGATAGGGCCTCATTCAATCAAGAACAGTTCCAGCCGAGTCTCTGTTGGATGAGCTGAGAGCACCTCGGTGGATTTTTAAGATTGAGGCCGAGGAAAAGGAAATGAGTCCGTCTCTCATTAACTGACAGTTGCAGTAGATTAACCGTGAATGCAATCAGATTTCATTTGAGAATATATCCACTTGTCCAGATGAATCTATTGAAAGACTACCTGATTAACAAGGGGGTGCCCAAAACTTTAAATTGAAACAGAATCAAACAGCTTTAAGAGTTGAATGGCCTCTGACAAAGTGGCAAGATACTGAAAGTGAAAATTAGACAAATTAAACTCTCTAATGCCGTCCTATGTGAACTTGACTAATGATGTGAAATATAGAAGCCAGTTGAAAACACACCAACAAAGTGAGACATCATTCATTATGTTGATTGGTAATGAAATAGCTTAAATTTTTTCTTATTTATTGATGCCTGAATGCCAAGATACAGTAGGTGAATATTAACACATACTGTTACAAAATCCAGATAAGATTTTTTTTTTTTTTTTTTAAACTTCTACTGGTTTCAGCTCCTGAAATGTGAATATTTGCTGCCTTTTCATTGTCATATATCACAGTAAACACAATATGTTGTGGATTGTTGGTCGGACAAAACAAGACTCATAAGCACATCCCCTTGAGCTGTGGGAAGTTTTAACAGGCATTTTAAACATTTTCTGGAAATCCATAGACTAACTGATTGATTGATTAATCTAGTAATTGGCTGGCTATTCGATAGTGGAAATAATCGTTAGTTGCAGCCCTGGTTCTCAATATGCAGGCCTCTATCAGTCCCTTCTCGATGCCTGCTGCAGACTGTGGAGAGGAAAATGAAAGATGCGGTGTCGTCTGTGATGTAATTTCGGTTATAAGGAGCAGGTGTGGATTGTAATAACACCCATACCAAGCCCACAAAAGCCAGTGTATCTGCGAGCGGAGAGGTTATTTGATTTGAGAGACATTTCCCATTTCTCTGATAAAATACGCCATCTGTAGCCCCGCGTTTCTCCATCTATCCACCGGCAGATTTTTCTGCCAGAGTCAACAGAAGGTACTCCAGCTATTAAACATTATGTTGCTGGTGCTGCCAGCATCAAGTGGTCATGCACAGGCCCGTCCTCCCCTTAAATGTGTTTCTAATTCTCAGAAATATACGAATGTGAAAAGTCACATTCTCCACGGCCTGAGAGCGTCACATTTACTTACTTTGTTTTGTTTACACTATTGTAAACTTTGAGCTGGGAATCACGTGGCCCTCAAGCTGGTGAGTATCATTTTCCATAAAGGGTGACAAAGACAAAGGAGCACTTAAATAGAACAGTAGGCTCATGCTGCCAAGCCTATGGGGTAATGATATATTTAGTAAGATCCTGTTGCCAGTTTGTTGTTACTGCCTCTTGCCATCTGCGTTGAATAGGAAGATGCCTCTGAGGGGGATTGTGGACGACATTTGGTGACAGGGTGTAAGATGTAATACATACTGCACAGTTATGATATATTGGCGTACGTGCAGGGACAAGACAAGAAGGTAAAAGCCAATCTAAGTAAGGAAGGTATGGTATTTCCTATTGCACCACCTTAATAGCACAACTACGAAAATGTGCACAAGAGAAAAACTGAAATGAAATTGATTTTAAATCAATTTAAAAAGAATTGTAACAGCACCCACTTGGCTCCTGCTAGACCGGACAACAATGGTGTGAGCAGTAAAAGCTTCCTCAGCATCCCCTGGAAAGCCATTACAATAATTTGCTGTGTTCTGAATAGTTAATTTAGAAAAGGGCAAGTCTGTAGTGCTGGCATGCTCCTTGCTGGGTAAATAGGTACGGCGCAGGAAGAATGACAGGTATTTGTGGTGGCGTTCCCGCTCAGCGCTGTGTCTGTGTTGCTCACCACCGGCATCACAGCAAGACAACGGCACACGCAGGCACTCAGGAAAATCATGAAGGCAACCATCTATCACAATGCAGTGAGTTTATATGTGCACTTCAGTCCGCAGAAAAAGTGTAGAGTGAAACAAGAAGGTAGACACACTGTTGAGTCCATTCATGCTTGTACTGATTCATTTCACTTTGCAATGTTAAAAAACCATTTAAGGCCAGTGTTAACAGCAGGTGAATCTTCCCTTTCCTCCTCAAGGTCAAACATCCTGTACGTGCATGCACTTATTTTGGACTGTCCCGTTCCCATGCCTGTTCACTCTGTGCTATTTATAACCAACCCGGCATCGAATGGGATATGAGCTTTGCCTGAACGACTCCTGGAGTGCTGTTACTCTCGCATGCTCCTGGGAATGAACAGAAACACCCTGCAACTAATGGGCCCAATCTTTCTCCCCAGGAGTTACTGAACCGCTTGCTCTCATGCCACAGTGCTATTGGTCATGTGTTGTAGTGCTATATGTTGTGGGTGTCTAAATATTTTGGCTGGCGCGGCATTTTGCTTCATGGTTGAGATTTTCTGTGATCCAAAAGTAATATTACATAATATAAGAGTACAACATGTGTAATGTGCCGAGTACACACAACAGTCTTGTCAGCAGCCTAACACTGCCCTCATGTGGTCTCTTAATCCAACAACAACAATAAAGTGACCGCCCACATCTTCCAGTGAAATGTCAGACAGTAATAAACATCAGTACTTACTACTTAGTCTAATTACTACCTCCGTGTATAAATTATCATGAAGAGACTAATACATTTTATCTCACATTTTATTGTGTCAGCACTGCTTCACACACATCGTGCTGTTCCAGTTTACTACCTATGAAAAATGCTCATATTGATCCCATTAAACCCATTCCACTGTTATAAAAGATGCTTAATATCATATATATATATATCCAGGGGAAAGATAAAGTTTCATTTTCATTTTTCAGAGAGGGGTCCTGACTTAATCACCATATGACTTTGTCTTGCAGAGGAGCCCCGTATCAAAATCTAGCTTTAAGACCTTAAGGACATTTTGCTGAGTTGTGTTTAATCAAACTGCCATAAAGTGACACAGGTGGCACCAGGTCGTACTCTAACATAGGAGTACTGCTTGGTGTCTGGGCAAAGAATGAAGCTGCCATCTCCAGTAAAATCTGGAGATGTGTGCTATGCACTTATTGATAACTCGGAGGTGACTAGGTGCATACACAAATACACAACACTGCACATGTAGTACTACAACATATGACCAATAGCACAGTGACGTGAGTAAAGGTCAGAGGCTCTGTAAATCTCCTATGAGGAAACACAGCACCTATTACTTAGACTTATTACTGACAGGCTAATCCAGCCACGTTCTGTCTAATAATGTCCCTGCCACATGGGATAACCCACAGACTTCACCTTGAATAGTTTTCATCAGAACATCTTTCTACTGGAGAAATAGGCCGTATAAAAACTGTCTGTAAGCGATGTCTGTGAATTGTTTCTGAGACACATTGATGAGTTTTACAAATGCATGTTGTCAGTGCTTTGAGAACAACACTGCAAATAAAAATCCGTTCACTGCAACTGGTGGATGTAA